TTTTGAGTTAAAGAATAAATTACTCTTACATGTATACTCATAGAAAACATTATAGCTCTGACTTAGCCTTCTTAGATAAGGAGTTGTCAGTCTGCCATTTATGCAAGTTTGCTGTATTTCCCATGTATAGCATGGGGAATACTGTCTTTTAGTATAGCAAAGCTAAAAGATAGCGCTTTTGTTTTCAAATCTCAGGTTTTTCATTCTGCTGTGAGTCATGTTATTCACTGTTCCCTGATGTGGTAACCAAAAATGATTCTTTCCACAAGAAGGATGTTAGGAAATTAACTAACAATTATGAAAACAGAAAGCAACAGAATATTGATATTTACATTTTGATAGCACTTACTGTTAATGAAAATGAAAACTGGAGGCCTTGGGTCACTTGAAATTCAAGTAAGAAGGAATGACTTTTATATTAATAAAGTGTTCATTGTAAGTACTCTACTGATAACTGCTCAGTCATGCTGAAGGCAAATTCAGTAGATAAGAATAACAGAAATTATCAATAAAAAGAATTGAAAATTAAAATATTTCCATTCTTTAAGCATATTTAAAGATAATTTGGCCAAGGACAGTGGCTCATGCCTGTAGTCTCAGCACTCTGGGTAGGCCCAGGGAGGTGGATTGCTTGAAGCCAGGAGTTTGAGACCAGCACCATGGCAAAACCACATCTCAACTAAAAGTACGAAAATCAGCTGAGTGTGGTGGCTTGTGCCTATAATCCAAGCTACTCAGGTGGCTGAGGCAGGGGAATTGAACCTGGAGGTGGAGGTTGCAGTGAGTTGAGATCACGCCACTACACTCCAGCCTGGGGGAGAGAGCAAGACCCTGTCTCAAAAAAAAAAAAAAAAAAAAAAAGAAATTAATAAAGATAATTAAATAGCTTAGAGTCACATATAAAATATATATACATACATATGCCATATATATATATATGGTATATACTTGTGTCTTCTGTAGTTTTGAAGAGTGTTCTGGGAGGAGCCACATCTTATTCATCTATGTGTACTCATAATATTTAGTCCAGTTACTGGAATGTAATAGATACATAGTAAATAAGTTACGATGAAAAAAAGTAAATTGACATGTGCAACAAGAATGAACCAGAGAAGCAAAAAATATTATAATTACGTGGAATATTAAATAGCTATTTGTTTAAAAGACTATATTAACATGGAAAGCTGTTCATGACATAATGTTAGGTAAAATAACATAGAAAAATACCTTGAATAAATAAGACAGATTGTAACTATATGAATGTGTTAAAATGAGATTTAAAGACCAGGTCCTGTTCTTTTGCCCAGGCTGGAGTGCAATGGTGTGATCATAGCTCACTGCAGCCTTGACTTCCTGGGCTTAAGCAATCCTTAGGCCTCAGCTTCCAAGTAGCAGGGACTAGAGGCGCATGCCACCATGCCCAGCTAATTAAAATTTTTTTCGTAGAGATGAGGGTCTCACCATGTTGGACAGGCTGCTCTTGAACTACTGCCCTCAACTGATCCTCCTGCCTTAGCCTCCTGAAGTGTTGGAATTACAGGTATGAGCCGCTGCTTGGCCAAAATGAGACTTTAGAAGGTTCAACTATGGGCATCATTATTTCTTCTTTCTAATTCCTGTTTTTCTTTAATTAATATGTTTGTTAATCTTATAATAGTTTGATATATTTATGGAATTAGCAGGAAATGTTACAAAAGTTGTATTGCTTTGTGACAGTTCTCATATTTCTGACATACTAATTCACATTACTTTTTTTTTTTTGAGACGGAGTCTTACTCTGTCGCCCAGGCTGGAGTGCAGTGGTGCAATCTTGCTCACTGCAACCTCCTGGGTTCAAGTGATTCTCCTGTCTCGGTCTCCCGAGTAGCTCAGATTACAGGCACATGCCACCATGCCCAGCTAATTTTTTGTATTTTTAGTAGAGACAGGGTTTTACTGTGTTAGCCAGGATGATCTCGATCTCCTGACCTCATGGTCCACCCACCTCAGCCTCCCAAAGTGCTGGGATTATAGGCATGAGCCACTGTGCCTAGCCTACTTACATTAGTATCTAACTGGTAGAGCCTAGAAGCAGGAAGATTACTTAGGAGATACAGTTTATGAATTAGCTAAGAAGGTGTTCATCTATACCTAACAGATAACAGTTTAATGAAATTGGGATTTATTTTTTAAACACATTGAATCTAGAGGCAGCCAATCTAGGACAGCTGCAGCAATTTCAAGAGGTCATGAGTGAATCAATTTCCTTCTATCTTTCTGCCCCAGCATCCTTAGCTTATGGCTTCTATCTTTATATTTTCCAAGTCATACTCATCTTCATCTTTGTCATGAAATTTCATCTCCATTCTGTTATTCTAGAAGAAAGAACAAAAGAAATGGGTGACTCTATATTAGGAAAGGAAATGCTTTTCTAGAAATCTCAAGCATGTGTCTAGAAGGGTATCCCATGGCCATCCATAACTGCATGGGATACAGGAAAATGAATTTTTCAGCTAGGCACATTATCACCCTTCCTTCAAAAAAAGATGGGCCACATCTGAAGTAGAGATTGTAGAGGATAACTTTTCTGGAACAGTAAAACTTCAGCAGCCTGAAGAGCCTAAATCCAAGACTTTGAGTCCAGAATTTGGTGCCATTTTTCCCTTTGAGGCAATTAACATTCAGAAAGCAATAGTGGAGAGAGGTTGGGAAACTAGCCCAAGTTTTCAACTGTTTCAAGGAGAGTGGGTATGGAATTGGATGAGTAAAAATTTTGAGTTCAGGACCTGAGGAGGAAAGATTTTAAGTTGGAACTGGGCTATACCCTGGAAGTAACTTTTAATTATTCTTTGATTGGATTAAGGTGGTCTGTCCCTAATCTAAGTAACTACTAATATGTCACACCTCCCAATATTCACCATCTTGTGTAGTTCCTTCCCACACTGATACTGAGCTTTGCCATGTGACTTGCTTTGGCCAGTGACACAGTAGTAAGCATGATAAAGGTAAAGGCTTGCACATTGAGGCTTGTCTTTTTGGAATGTGCGCTCTTGCAACTCTAAGACTATGATGCTGCGAGGAAGCCTAGATTAGCCACATGGAGAAGCCATGAAGAGAAAAACCAAGGTATGTAGGTAACAGCCTTCTTTCTGTTCCAGCATCCTTAGCTTGTGGCTTCCATCTCCATATTTTCCACATCATGTTCACGTTCATTTTTGTCATGAGACTCCATGTCCATCCTCAAGTCCCAAGATTTATGACCCTAGTTGAGCCATTCCAGCCAGGCCCCAGACATCATGGAGCAGAAATGAGCCACCTGTACTATGCTCTGACTGAATTCCTGAGCCAGAGAATTCAGAATCATGAGCAAATAAAAAAGCCATTGTTTTAAGTCATTGTATTTTGGGGGTGGTTTGAACACAGCAATAAATAACTGAAATACTACTAAAAGTATGAAGAATGTATAACAAATAACCTAATTGTTGGAAAACAGTGGAATTAAAAATTATTAAAAGGACAGTAAATAAACAACAAACTAGAAAAACAGAAAGCGAACAGTAATATGGTAAACTCAAATATTAGTTTCTAGGCAATCTATGTACAAGTAGACACAGAGCAAGATCTTGTCTCAATAAGATTTTAAAAGTCAAGATTTTCATCTTTTACCTATTGTCCTCTGAATTCCGCCCAAATCATTCACTTTAGTTTGATGGCCTTGATGCAATTTGAAATAAGCTGCTGAAAAGGTAACACCCTTAATCTATTCTTTGCTGGTGTGCTTACCCAGTCTGGTTTAGAACAGTTTAACAAAGGCTTACAATCATAACGTCTATGATTATTACCTCTTAGCTTCTAGTTTTACTGACTTCCCTGTCTGGAATTACCAGCACTTTTTTTCATATAAATGAAAATCTCACCACTGAAAATCGATTCAATATATGGCGTCACAATTCAAAAAGTATTTTACAGCCCAGAAAATATGGCCATTCCATATGTGGTGTGTATTTCAGAGGTGAGTACACAGTGCTCTACAAGCTCCACGAGGACAAAAATGAAGTCCAGGCTACATGCCTGGCACGTAATAGGCGCTCTGGCAGACATTTGCTGAAAGAATAAATTAGTCACTACGGCGTTTGTGGGCTTTAAAACGCAAGTAAATGCGCTTCTAACGTTAAAGCCTCGGAGCTAGGTTTCCCTTCTGCAAGGTGGCGTACGAGGCCCACGAAACAGTCGGCCCCTGCAGGTGCGCAGCCCGTCCGGCCTGTCCCGCGCGGGGCAAGCGACCTCGTCTGGTGGCGGCGGTGGCGGAGGCGGCCGTTTGCTTCCTCACAGAGTGCTCCGGCATCAGGGGCTGGAGGCGTCTGGGGAGGAGGCAAGTAAACAAAGCCAACCTCACCGAAACGGGTTGTTCCGTTTCACATCCTCCCTAGAGTGCCTGGGTCTCTTCGGAACACAGTGACCCTCTATCTGTCCGCAGGCAGGTGGAGACCACGCCACGCAGCACGCGCTTTCCTTCCTCACAGCCGGACGCGGACCCGCAGGGACCCTGCGGGCCAGAGAAAGGACACGCCCCCTCGCGGGAGCACAAGTCCACCACACACAGCCAGCGAGCCTCTCCTCGAACGAGCGCGCACGCGCGTGCAGGGGGCGGGTCTTCTTCCCGGCACCCACTGAGCGCCCGGCCTCCTCACCCCACCCCATCCCCCTCCGACCGCCCAGGCTCCGCCTCCGCGACGGGGCCGTCGGGAGGCGGCGACCGGAAGCCCTAAAAGCAGAGATCGAAGTGACAGGCGAGCTGGCTGGACTCAGAGCGCGGTCAAGGCTTTCTGCGTTCGCGGCGGCGGAATGGCCCGTGCGCGGCTGGCCGCGTCGCCGCTCTGTGATCCCTAGACGCCGGCTCCCGCCCTCGGCGCTGACCCCCGGCGCGGACGCTGCTTCCGACCCGGCTCCAGTCGTCCGTTCTCTCAGACTCTCGTTCAGGTAAAGGGCTCCGGGTGGGTGCTGAGGGGCTGAGGGACGCTAGCGGGGAATGCGAGCGCCGGCCTCGCGGCCCCGGCCCCTCGCCAGGAGTGTGCTGGGCTGTCGCGGATCGGGGTGATTGATTTTGAGACTGCCCTTTGTACCAAATTCACTCGGATCCTGTCAGCATCAGGAAAGAATTGGTTTACACTTATTAGGCACTTGGAGCCTCTGGCAGGTGTATACATCAGACCGAGGCGCTGAGGGATTTAGTTGGGGTCGCCGGCGCCTGCCCCTTCCCAGTTCGTCAGGGCGGGGGTGCGTCTATGTGGCCTTTCCCGCCGGCCGACCCCGGGTGCTCTGAGACGCGGAGGAGCCCTTCCCAGACCCGGGGGGAGGGCACAGCGGCTGCCGGAGCCTTCCCGCTACCCTGCGTTTCGGGCTGCAGCCCAGAAGTTTGGAAGCTATTTTCACGTTAACTTTGAAAGCGCACAAGTCTTCGCCTTCCTCCCAGCCGCCGCGGGAAGCGTCAGCCGCGTTTCCCTCGCGCTTCGCGGCTCAGTTTTGCAAGCCTTCAAGACCCGTGGGACCTCCTCGGGAGGTGGGCTGAGGAGGTAAAGAAGAATTAAAGGGAAAGGTGCCGCGAGTGACTTCTGGGTTGCAGGGAGGCCGGGGCGGGTCTTCGGTCAGGAGGAGGCTGGACAGGGGTTGGGGGCGCCCCGACGCCTGCTGAGGGGAAGGCAGGGGCGGGGACGCCCGGGAACACCCGGAATTGCAGAGCCGGGCGGCGCCTCAGCTGCGCTGCGCGGAGTTGGCGCGGCCCGGGACTAGGAGCTGAGCAAACCGCCGCGGCCGGCAGGAGGCGTCGCTCGGACCCGGGCTCGGTCGGCGCCGGGGCGTCGCGCGGCTGCTGGCGGGCAGGCTTAGGAGCGGCGGTTTCTTAGCGAGGGGCAGTCAGCGGGGAGTGCCGGAGAACCCCGGCATCAGGAGGTGAGGGGTGTCGCGGTGTGTTGCCTGCCGCTGGAGACCGGAGGATATGTCCTCATCTTTATTTTTCTGTTACGAAAACTAATTGAGGAACTAGGTTCTAGTCGCTTCCCCACTCCAGCCACTCCTCCAGTTCTCTGCCCGCCCAGTTTTGTTTCCGAGTTTGATGAAGGGCAATAATAGGCAAAGTTGCGAGCTTGCTTGCGTGTGTACGCGCAGACACGCACATAAATGAAATTGATTTAGTGTCTGTTTTGCCTTGATTGGATTTGATAGGAGTGGTCAGAGTGAGTGCGCGTGGGGAAAGCACAGGCCAGTTTGGTATGGTGGAGAGGGAATACCACAATCTGTGCCAATTGTGCCTTGAGGCAACAGCACCGAATGATGAATAATAATGCCTGGCTTGGCTGCTTTCCAGTTGATTTATGTCTCATGTCAGATCCCTCCTTCTTCGTGAAGCTTTCCCTAACAATGCCAGCTCACAATGAACTCTCCTTTTTCTGCCTTTTCCTTTTGTACTTATCATGTACACTTAACACTTTGTTATAAACTATGCTTTGTATTTTACTTTTCTGAATTTGATGCACTTCTTACACATAGATTATGACTCTCCAAAGAGATTTTTAATATTCATTTTTGGGGGACTCAATTTTATCTTTTGTTGACCAACAACAAAGAACTAAGCTTTTCTTAACTAATTCAGCTAACAAAATGTATATGAAACACCAGCTGTGTGCATTGTGGTAGGCACTTTACTGGGCACCTAGGATGCATATTTGATTAAGTCATGGGCCCTTGCGTCACAGATCTCTTTCAGTCTGTTGGACAAGAGAGGATTAATTGCTCATCACCATTCCTTTCTCACTTGGCACAATCTTGGTAAATGTTTTCAAATTCAGGTTTTTTTCAAGGGCTGTGATTCTTGGAAGATAGGACTTTTTCGTCTCTTTCATTAGTTGATTAGGAATCTGATATTTGGCGTGTGTTTATATTGTTTTATTTTTCAATAACATGCCATCATTTGCCTTTTTAAAAATGTCTATATGTAACTTTTCTGAAGACAAGAACTAGGAAGCTCTTTTTGTGCTACCAAGTTGTGCTTGTTTTCTGACACAGTGTGCAGTGTTTGTTGCTGATGTGGCTTCTCTTACTAAACACACCCTAGTATTCCATCAGTAGTGGTAATGCTTTTAGGGGTTGCAAAAGTAGACTCTTAACATTTTTGGGTAGTATATTATAGAATTTTCTGAATATAGAAATGCTTAACAGACTCCTGGCTTTCTCCCATATAACATTTCAATTGAGAGCCCCTGTTTCTTGTGTATATCCTTACACACTTAAATTCACTCACTATTTCAGTTTGAAGTTTATCTTTCATTTGATGAACTTTTAAAGAAACTTTTTGTCAACTCATGAGATAGGTGATACATAAACAACTGTGAAGAGTACTGCAAAGCTGAGTGGAGATGTGGTTTCCCTGCTTTCATGATCTAGACAGTTATTTCTACCTCCCATTTCCCACCCCTCTCTAGCCTTACAATAAAAATTCATACCCCAGCAGAATTGCAAACTCTTGTGTATTAAGTCCACAAATGCATGCCAATGGCCTATTGAAAGACTTCTACTTTTACTTGCTTTGTGCTTTTGAATAGCAGGTATTCTTTGGGTATTCTTGGGTGCTTTGGAGCCTTAATTTCTCAATAAAATTTAAAATTGACCTATAAAAACTAAATATAGTATAAGTGGAATGGTTTCAGGTAGTCAGGACAAAAACAAAACATTTTAATGAATGAATGAAATCCAGTTACTGTCAGTTTGTAAATGATCATCTTCCTTCCTTTCCTCATAGGAGTTTTAGACTCTGAGGAGCAGTTGGAGCTAATCCACATCATGGAAATGGAAACCACCGAACCTGAGCCAGACTGTGTAGTGCAGCCTCCCTCTCCTCCTGATGACTTTTCATGCCAAATGAGACTCTCTGAGAAGATCACTCCATTGAAGACTTGTTTTAAGAAAAAGGATCAGAAAAGATTGGGAACTGGAACCCTGAGGTCTTTGAGGCCAATATTAAACACTCTTCTAGAATCTGGCTCACTTGATGGGGTTTTTAGATCTAGGAACCAGAGTACAGATGAGAACAGCTTACATGAACCTATGATGAAAAAAGCCATGGAAATCAATTCATCATGCCCACCAGCAGAAAACAGTATGTCTGTTCTGATTCCTGATAGGACAAATGTTGGGGACCAGATACCAGAAGCCCATCCTTCCACGGATGCTCCAGAACAAGTGGTTCCAATCCAAGATCACAGCTTTCCACCAGAAACCATCAGTGGGACAGTGGCAGATTCTACACCAGGGCACTTTCAGACTGATCTCTTGCACCCAGTTTCAAGTGATGTTCCTACTAGTCCTGACTGCTTAGACAAAGTAATAGATTATGTTCCAGGGGTTTTCCAAGATAACAGTTTTACAATCCAGTATATTTTGGACACCAGTGATAAGCTGAATACCGAGCTCTTCCAGGACAAAAGTGAAGAGGCTTCCCTTGACCTCGTGTTTGAGCTGGTGAACCAGTTGCAGTACCACACTCACCAAGAGAATGGAATTGAAATTTGCATGGACTTTCTGCAAGGCACTTGTATTTATGGCAGGGATTGTTTAAAGCACCACACCGTCTTGCCATATCATTGGCAGATCAAAAGGACAACTACTCAAAAGTGGCAGAGTGTATTCAATGATTCTCAGGAGCACTTGGAAAGATTTTACTGTAACCCAGAAAATGATAGAATGAGAATGAAGTATGGGTATGTATTTATAACAACTTGTAGAACTGTTGTTAAATGCTATAGAGAAGGTAAAGAAGCTACAAGCTTAGAAGGGTGGTTTCTTTCAGTAGTAACAGGTTTTCTTTTTTTCCACTATTATTCTTTTGACTATGCTATCCTGATTTTTCATGGTGGGTGAATGCAGGCTATTAACTCAACCAGACAATGAAGGTTTTATGATTTGAACAGTTCATATGCCAATCAGTTCAATGTGTGTGTGACTGAGAAATTGCATATACATTGAATATTGTGAATAAAATACTGCTTTAATCATACAGGGAAAGCCGGCTTTTGAAAGAAAATCTTACTATAGTAATCTTACTATAACATAAATAATGAACACCTAATTTATCTAATTTTAAAGCTCTGCATATTGAGTAGCTCTTATTTTTTAAAGAAAAATAGTATTGTTGAGAGGTGTCTGTGGCCCTCTTCATTTTGAATGGTATAAACATCTTTTCTGTGAATGATTCAGAAGTTCCTCCCATACTTCTGGATCTTTTATTAGTTTCCTTGAAGATTTTACCATTGTTTCTATTATAGATAAAATAAATTTTTCCACAATTTAGGGTTTTTAAAACCTGGAAGAGTCCTTTAACAATCAGTGAAGGGACGAATTTATGTTAATAGGTATGTTTATTACTCAAACAATAATCCTTGGGTTTTGGTGTGCAAGATGTGTTATATACATAGCTCAGTTCTTTGTGTCTCTAAGTTATTTCTCCTATTGCATAGAAGGAGTTAAAGTGTATGGTGTTAATCGCTATTTGTGTATGACCAAGAGTAAGGATTAAAATTAAAAGGGAGATAAGAGCACTTCTGTCCATGCTCCCTGACTAGGAAGGCTATGAGGGCAACCTAACAGCTTCATAGATAATGAGTGGCCTGGTGTAGTACTGAGATGCATGACCCATATTGGGAGGGGGAATACACTGAATATACCATCCCAGAAATCCAGGAGAAAAATCTTCTTTGAGAGTCATCTTTGTAAACCAACAGATACATTGGTTTACACTACCCAAGTATCTAGAGAGTCAGCAAATGGTGGCAGTAAACCATTTCCAAGTTGTCTGATTATGGTAGTCTTCATGTCAACCTGAATTCTGACTAGTGCTAGAGCATTGTTGGCATTACAGAAACTTGGTCTCTCTCTTTTTTTTAAAATTTATCTTGTTCCCATTCAGTAATGGGTAAATGGTTGTCTTTTAATAATTTTACTATTTCAGTTATATAATGCAGAAATTCATGTGTCTTTTTTAGCAACTTAATTATGAGACTAGAACATCTTGTGTTTCAAAAGGGAAGTGTGGAACAAGAAGAGAAACAGTATAATGCCCAAATTCCAGAGTATTACATAGAAGACCCAATGAGATAAAACAGGTCATATCAAGAGTGTAGTTTGCCTGACTATAAATGTATTATCTTGATAATATATTACACTCAAGATTATACCTTGCTTCAGTAGTGAAAATCTTATAATACAGCTAAATACTTTAAACTTATTTTTTAAGCCAGCATTGGAAGAAATAAAAATGTTTTTCCATTTTATCTTAAAAATCTTTTTAATAAGGTATTGTCCAAAATCTCCGTTGCCCATGAGCTAGCAATTCTAATTGCTATGTCAAGGGTAATTAATTTTATATACTCTCAAAGCCACTCTAATCCTTCTGTGTCTAGATTGCAAAACTCTGCAGAACAGTGGCTCCCACTTTACCCTCATGAAGCAAATTTCCAGTCTGCTGAGTACTTCAGCATCTTGGTACATTAAGTTTCTATCTGTTTGAATTGGTCAGGAAGAAACTAGCAGGATTACTGGCCAACACATGACATTCTGTTACCATGAGAACAAGGCAAGACAATCATTTTGATCCCAGAAAATCCAGGAATTCTTAGGTCAGGAGCATATGGGTATTTTTTTATCCTTTGGTAAGATTATTTTACTTAAGAATAGACATAGATATGGGCCCATAAGCATGCACCGTGTATTATGAGGTAGTTGCAATGGGTGCTTGATTTCTGAATCAGTTTTAGTGAAGGAAACTAATGTTTATCTGACACTTGGGAGAAGAAAAGTATGAGCAAATTATTATACTTACCATTGCTCCTACTACATTGTTAGTGGTAATAAGTGGTCCTATCCTGGGAAAATAGCAAAAAGTATTAACTGTTAAATTACTAGTAAAGTGAAGTTCTCTGATGATTACAGGAAGAAATGTAGTATAGTAGATAGCTAAGTGTCAAAAGTTAGGCTTTTGGGAAGTTGACCTGTGGTCATTGCAACCTGGTTTTCCTTGTATTCCAAAGCGATGTTGTGTTTCCTGGCAACAAGATGCAGATAACGGCATGTTGAGCCTTGCTGAGAGATTCACAAACAAGCTGGAGCAGCCCAGGTTCACATGGTTACCACATTATTTGGCTAAAGCTATTAATCTCTGTGGTCAGGCCTGTAAAGCTGGTCTATCTGTGCAGATTGCACATAACCAGGAAGTGTGTGTTCAGCTGTGTATATGTCCAAGTTGGAACCAGCAGCCTTTGGATTCAGAAGTAAGGAATAATGAATGGCAGTTGTTTATCCCACCGTTTTCAGTAGTTTATTTGGCTTGGTAAATCATTATTTTCTATATCCATAACATCTTAATTGTGTGATACTTAAGCAAAGTTCATAATTCTGGGTCTCGAGCAGAGACAAAAGTTCATAGTTTCAAACTGTACAGATAAAATTCTTTATTTTGCTTTGCAAATGTATTGGATTTAATGCCTAAATCTAAATTAGATGTGTAGTGTTCATTTTGTTCTCAGGAATGAAATTGGAAAGGAAGTTAAACTAGCTAGATAAGTTCACAGGACCTTTCTAACTTTTTAGTTAAAATGCTTAGATACTAAAAACACATTTAAAAAGGCTTTCAATAATACATGCTTATTTGATTCCTTGTAATGAAATTATGATGTAATCCCACTTTGCTTCCATTCTTTTGTACATCTACAAATGTCTATTACCAACATCAACTGAATACTGGTGTGTATGAACTTCCCAGATATAGATGGTAAGGCTTCTTTTTTGCACACAAGATGAACCTTGCAGAATTTCCAAATTCCAAATATGCAGTTGAGAAAATATTATTGAGTGTTGTGTTTTCAATTAAGAAAACACAGTCTCGAACAGTGCAGGCACTCATCCTTAGTAGACAATGACATGGGATGGCAGAACTAAGCAGTTTTAAAAGAGTCTTGCACACTGTGTGGAATATTGTTGTGGGTAATTGAACTTATGGAGGTTGTGCAAATCTCTCTTTAACAGACAAGATCACCATTAGTTTCATATTATATTCATTTTAAATAGTGCCAGAACAATTTTCTTCACCCATCAAGAAGGGACACACTGCAAACCTTATTTTGGAGGCTACCTGCAAGTGCACATATGACTAATGATTATTTCTAATTCTGAATTTATTGAAAGAGAGTGGGGGTGCAGAAGAAGAGGAAAGTTGCAAACCTTGAATCCACTATTAATTTTTTTTTAGAGGACAGGGTTTTTTTTCTTTTGGAATTAATGCTTATTGATAAAAGAGGGAGTTTTACTTGGTTTAAGGCTTAAGGCTAGAGTGTTGTCATAGTTATAGTTGCTGAGTGATTTTGATTGCTAATTGCCCTTGAAAGTCTTTATTTTTAAAATCTGCCCAAGGGAGAGTACCATTAGATGACTTCACAGAAACTCTGTATAAAGAGAAATGTATATTAATGATCATAAAAAACATATACTGTTATAGTCCCTGTATGACTTGCATAGTGAATTAGCTAAACTAGAGCAAGCTCCTGACTGAACTTTACTGGAGTAGTTAAATTAGCCAAGTTAGCACTGGCATGCACAGCTGTGATGATGTATGAACGAACTCATTATGTGTTATTGATAACACTGGAGAGAGGAGAACAGCTGAAACTTACTATGCCTTGTGACTTTTTGGTATTTCTTGAATATACACAGCTGGATGAGTTTAAATTTATTTTAAAAATTCCTGCCTAAGAGAAAGAGAGAGCTCCATAAGCAAGAACTGTGTTTGAAGTGACTGAAAATGTGTGTCTTGTGCTTTAGGATAAAGCAATCCAATGAATTATTTTTTGTACTTCTTTATGCTACTATTTACATATGAAATAAAACTAATTGGCTTCTATCTATACTAATCCAGAGAAGTTACTCGATGTGTGTAGAGCTATCATGGGAATCAGTAGGAATCATTCATTTATTCCCTTTCTGGTTTTTCATCAAGCAGATTAGATTTTTTGAAGCAGCTGTCACCTGGCTTCAGGTGGGGTCATTCTTTTCCTGATGTATTTAGGGTAATGAAAATGAACCTTGCCCAAAAGATTTTTAACTTTTTAATCAGTTAGAGGAAATAGCTTATAAGGTTATGTGGCATTCCCTAAAAATATGACATGGTACAGTATGTGTTTTATCATTAAGTTGAATCCAAGTAAAAGCTCTTACTTTTTATTGTAAGTAAGAAAAAGCTCTTTTTTATAATTTTTTTACTTTTTATTTTTACTTTTTTACTTTTTTATTGTAAGAAAAAGCTCTTACTTTATTGCACTTTTTATTGTAAGTAAGAAAAAGGAATACGAGTTGAATATCCCTTACCCAAAATTCTTGGAGACCAAAAGTGTTTCAGATTCTAGATTTTGGAATATTTGTGTAGTACCCCGGTTAAGCATCTGAAATCCAAAATGCTCCAGTGAGCATTCGGGTATCATCTGGGTGCTCAGAAAGTTTTGGGTTTGAAGCATTTCTGATTTTCAGATTTGGGGTGCTCAATTTGTAGTAGTAACTCTCTTCAGCTTTTAAAGCTTTATTCTGCACAAAGTGACATAGTGGGCATGCAAAAAAAATGCTACTTTTGACTGGTAACTGTTATGTCCTTGTAAATCTATTTCCTATTGTTACACTAGAATTTCTAAATTTCTAGATCATAGATTTACAATCTACC